TTGGACTTGACTACGGGATCGCGTTATGATGGGGTTTCGACGAGAAGCTATGTTTAAATATTACCTGAGAATTTTTGAAAAATTGCTTTTAGATTCAACCCTCGCTTAGTTATTCCAAAGAAAATAAAGAAAGGGAAAAGAAAAAGACAAGAGTTAGTAGATAACCAGAAAATTCGGATGCATGTCCTATGGGGGAACCCTTTTTGTGCCAAGGGTAGGCCTAGCATGAAAATGCAATCCTCTAGGGTAGGCACTATACCATACCTGATGGATCTGATCAACTCATTAAGTGAGGAGTAATTTTGAAAAATTTGGTCAATTGAAGTGAGAAGAGACGTTTATCAAAATGAGGACATCATCCGAAGGGATTGATTGCTTTTGATTGATACAAGAATTTGCAAAAACGCACAGGTTTGACCTTGACGAACTTCCTATCGAAGAGATTGGAATTCGTTTTGACAACTTTTCTTAGTGGAGCACGGGTCAAAACTCCAACTGATCAAATGGCTGGATACAATGGATGGTTTTCTCAAAAATCGACTAAATTTCCCAATTTGAAATTGAAACCCTGATTAGTCAAATGGGTTGAATGAAATTGACCATTTATTTAAAATTGACCGGATTACCCTAAAAAGGGAAACGGGTCAAATGAATTGAATGAAATTTAACTTATCCAAAATTAATCAGATCACCCTAAAAAGGGTAAATTGGTCAAATGAATTGACGATTTATTCAAAATCGACCAAGTGGCCCTAAAAAGGGTAAATCGACCAAGTGACCCTAAAAAAGGTAAATTGGTCAAATGAATTGACGATTTATTCAAATGAATCGGTAAAATGGATTGGTTGAATTGTCCGGCCATTGGTTATTTCAAAATTATTGAAGTGCATTAGTCTATGACCTTCTAAAAATCAAATTTTGGCCTCAATTTATTTATCGTCTCAATAGGAGGAATCATTTGTGAATCTCTTCAAATTAATGTCCTTCACGCAAGGGATTTTTACCAATTTTGATAAAATGGCCAAAAAGTGATTATTAGATGCTCATATTCCAAAGATCACTCAATGAAAATGACCGGATCCTACCTTACCTTGTGCACTACCCCTTTGGATGGTACAAAATGTAAACGTGCAAGTCTCTTTGGATTAAGTATCCGAGACACAAGGTGGTTTATTCCTGACACGGGATCCCCTAAATGGCATTCCCTTCTAGGGTTTATGCATGATGCCAGTTTATTAAAGCGATAAAACATGATATTATGACCTAAAGGGACCTTTTATACGCCAAGGTAGGCTTAGAATGCTATGCAATTATTAATCTATGAATGCAATATACCAAAATCTTTAAACGTGCAATAACCTATCTACAAGGGTAGGTTCTAAAAGAAGGTCATGCCAGACCTCTTATTTCCTAACGTTTGTGAATGCAAAGGCAAAAGACAAGGAAAGTTAGTTCAACACATAACATGTTGGACAATTAAAAGATATAAAAAGCAGGAAACATAAATAAGGAAAAAGGGTGGGATCCCTCCCCTCGTGAAAGGTGTTCCTAATAGGGTAAGGCAGACTCTACCCTAGGTGAAACTATATGGATGCATGAGGTTGGGGTTTGCTAATGCATCTATACTCAATAAGCTCAGGCCCCCAAGCCTTCAGACTCGTGGCCAAGGGTCATCACTCCCAAGGCCCTTTGTCGGTGGCTCGAGCGATTCCCCAAACACCGCTACGCACACGTCGTGTTACGGCTGCATGTTTGAGTGAATCTATAAAAATCCTCAACCTTCGACTAAACACTAAAGGCTATTAACCCAAAGTTTAAAGCGGAAGATCGAGTGACCCATTGGATCGTGCTACGCACACGTCGTGTCACGATCACACGTCCAAGTGGGTCGCCTAAAATCCTAATAGGGTGGAGTGGCGTGACAAGCCACTAAAATAAAAATAAATGAGGGGTGAAAAGTTAAAGCGTATGCACGTATGCTAGTGCTCGTTTGGAGGGGAGGGATCAAGAACCAACGCGAGGCTCTAGGGTATGTCCCCCACCCAAATGCAATGCAAAGCGCGAGATAAATAAATAAACATACATCCAATCAACCAATCATACATACGTGAGTGAGGGAGTAGTTTGATATGTGCGTACGTGGCAAAAAGTCCTAGAAAGGGAAAATGCAATCCTAATATCCAAATGCTATACATAAAAAGGGTAGAAAAAAGGAAAAGAATGGCTAAATCAAATGCTTGGACCCACTTAGGAAGTCCCCAGTGGAGTCGCCAACTGTCGCGCCCCACTTTTTTTGGAAAAAATAAAATAATTGTTTTTTGTTGAATTTTATTGATTTGGGAAAAATGAATTTTGTTGATAAAAACAAAAATGGGTCTAAATGGGACTTTTGAAAATGCGACGATTTGACCCAAGAAAAATAGTTTAAAAAGGGTTTTTATATGAAAAATGGAGTCGCCACTTGGTATAGAGTTAAGGTGTACCAAGTCACCCAAAAAATGAAATTTTTAAAGAAAAAAGTAAGAAAACCCTTTTTAAACGACTCCTAGTCCACGTAAAACAAAGAAAAAGGTTCGGGAGTCACATTTGACGAAGGGGAAGGCAAGGATAAAAATCCAAGGCACCCCTTCGACCTAACCAAGGCTAGTTGCGTGATTTAACCCTTATTTTCCTATATTTTCTACCCAAAGTATGTATTGCAAATTGGATTTGACTAATGAATGAGAAATGCAATCCTAAATCTAAGAAATGTTTCTTATGAGGCTTTTGGTCCCATTCACACGAGTCGTGACGGCCAATAAGGAAAGTCCTCATAGAAAATCATGAATGATGCAAATGAGGACTCAAATGAGAGTGTAAGTGTGCAAAGTGTAGAAAAAAGTGCATGTGTGCAATTTGAAAGTGTTTGTGTGCAAATGAATAAAAATATAAATGCTCGTGTGCAAGTGAATGAAAATAGTAAATATATAAGTAAAATAGGTGCAATGTGTGAAGTGAAAAGTAAAGAAAGTGAATAAGTGTGTGAATATGACATGTGGATTTAAAATATATAATTAGTGAGGAAAATAGTGAGAAAATGATATGAAAATGCATGAACTTAGAGGAATGCATCAGGTCGGGTACGGGAATGACCTCTAGTTTTTGTGATTTTAATTTTCCTTTGATTAGAAGGAAAAACTAGCGTGCTAAGGCTATTTTGAAGCCACACTCGCTCGTTTCCCTTACCCAAGGGGGTCCTTCAGGCAAATGTACCCTAACTAGCATGAGATGCAAGACCTAAAGTGAGGGGAAAGGGGGTCGGGGGCCTGCAAAAAATGATAAAACTAAAAAGAATGCATGACATGTAATGAACATGCAAATATGTACTAACGAGGGGAAATCCCTAAGGGTCTAGCGTTGGACTAGCCCATTCTATGAATTCCGACTAGCGTTGGACTAGCGGAAACGTACATTCATCCATCACATTCATTTATAAATATAGAAAGCAAGTAGACATGCAAAATCACTTATAACACGTAGCACATAACACTTAGCATGCTCGACTAGATGCAATAGCTTAATAAAGCAAATTAAACACATAGCAAACCAAATAATACCCCAAAAGCAAATGAAACTATTACATGGGCTAACTAAAACAAATGGGGGAAGGGGGAAAAATGGACAAAGTGCTCTCCAATGCCCTATCTATTACAAGCCAAGAGGTGTACACATACCCCATAAATAAAATAAAAGAAAGACTTAAAAATGAAAGGAATTAAAGAAAACTTAAGAAAGCCAAGTAGACATGCAATTCTCATTTAGCACGTTGTATCACATAGGGAGAGGCAAAAAGGATAAAAGAAAGTTATACCTTCCCCCGCTTGTGAAGCTAATAAATGGAAAAGGTTCTAATTTGGGCTAAAACCATTAAACAAAGGATTAATGCACCAATTTAATAGTAAATCAAACAACACAAATTCTTCAAAAACAAAACATAGGGAACCACTAGTAGCTATAAAATTGAACCATTAAGTCCTTCAAATAATCAAACAAATCCATATTCAACAAATGGGATTCCAATTTGGAAGGAAAAGGAACTTTGAAGGATTAAATCGATTAATCTTTTCAATTGCTGGGGCCATAATAGAATAAGAAGGGACTTGAGGGGTCAAAGCGAAATTTGTGAAGATTATTTCATGCATGCAAATCAACATTCACGGCCAAAGCTTCTGTAATTCCATTTCTTTCTACAATTTCTGATATGCGTAAGTTGCAGCAATTCGACATAGTGAACTATCACACATTTTTCAAGTAAAATCCAAGCAAACTATCACACATTTCTCTACTTTGCAAACATGAAACTTGTAAATTTACATTTCTTAAACTAAAGACACAGCCATGGTAATTCAAAAAGAAAACAGCAACAAGAAAAGAAATGGATTATGGCCAAAAAAAATCAAAAACTGCGGCAGAATTTCTTGAGTGAACTTTGCAGCTTGTTTTCATGTGGTTGGATCCTAAATAAACTCTATCAATGCCACAAATCCAATAACGGATGCAAGACTCTCACTCATGTTGTTCACTTTACTCAAACACAGCCATCTATTACCCGCAAAGATGTAAACAAATCATCCAAATACAAAGTGCAGCCAAGTAATGCAAGGATTAGTGGCTACTTCATTAGACCAGAAATTCACTTGAGATTGTTGTTAGCAACACACAAGTGCACATGTTCACTCTCAACTTGGCCCATGAGGCTACTTCATACGGCAGAAAGAAATAAACAAACAACCTAGATGCCAAGCAATAAGGTGATCACTGCCGCAACAAGGATGAAGCAAAACCTGTTGTTCAAAACAATTTTGCTCAAGAAGGAAAATTCAGATTTTTAGATATAAACACGCAGCTTTATTCAACAAATTTCGACCAAAACCATAACCTATAACTAAACAACGAGATATATAACTCAAACCAAATCAGCAAAACACATAAGCAAGACTGATGCAAAGCTGGGGACACATTTAAACACTTTCTTTGAGGAGGAACACAGCTGCAACCAAACCAAAAGTTTCGACATTACTATGAAACCAGCAACTTGAATTCACTCACGGGTTTCTTTCTGTGCAAATTCAGCTTTCATATGTGCAGGGAGACAACAAAACAGGTTCTTTAAACCTCAACCAAAGTCTAGCAATACAAAGGCGTTCGGACATCAATTAACTTCAAATCAAACAAAATTCAAGAAAAAAACATCCTAAGGTCCCAAATTAAAAGAACAAACACAATGCAAAGAATCCCCTGCAACCTGCCGGCCTCACTCATTCAGCTTCAAAGGAAAAAAAACAAAACAAACGAAGAAGTCAACAGCTTTTTTGATTCACAGGTTTTGCAACCAGAAAATTCCAATCAGAATTTTGATAACAAACAAATTCATATAGTAAACCATTTCAGATGCCTTGACAACTAGCAACTTCCAATAAAATTTTCCAGCCATGCAACCGAATTCCTAGCCATAAAGATCACATGCAACACCAAATAAAGAGCTATCTATCAGATTGGGTCCAAAATCAAGTTCAAATGTCATCAAAAATCACCATTTAACCAGAAATTCATCCAATTTCTCTCTCAGTTGTCATACATGTAAACAGATTTTATATTCCCTCAATTTTCTTGCTTAAACATGTTGATTAACTTCATGCAAAGCTCAATCATCCAGCTGCTAATTAGCTAAACATACAACTGAGCTCAGATCATCACAAGTTAGCAATTTAAAGCTGAAATTTCCAGCTCAGGCAATCGGACAGTTCCAATTCCTTAAAAATCAGATTTTCTTGTAACTTAGTTCATCATCCAACCGTACAACCCCACATGCATGCTTATAAACAGCTTCATCAACCCATAAACAACTCATCTAAGTCCAGAAATTACCTCAGTAACAAGCTAAGTTTACGCACAAGAAGTCTGGAAAAATTTTCTTTCCTCTCGGTTCTCACGCCCGGTCTGAAGTGCTGGTTTGCTTGGCTGTGGCAGCCGGTGGAGCTGGTGGTTGTTGCGGTTGGAAACTGGATGTAGTTGGTAGAAACGGAAGTGCAGAATGGGTGGAGCTCGCTCACGGCTTCTCCCTGGTTTCACTCCAGCTCACGGACAGAAATTTTAAAGTGTTGTAGCTCGCGGATTCCCTCTTGTCCTCGGTTGGTTTGCCGAATGCAGCTCACTCTCTCCTATCTCAGTCGATGATCACGAGGTAAAGGATTTGGTTGTGGTTAGGAATCTGATAGTGGAGTGGAGATGGTGTCTTCAGTTAAGAGCTCAGCTCACACGATGGTTTGCTGCAACATTTCCCTCTCGGCTGGCTATGGAAGTAAAGTATGGCTGGCTGAGTTTGGTTTGCGTAGGCTAGCTGTGAAGTTGGTGGGTGTGGTTGAGCTCAGCTGGTGGAGGTCTTGAAAGTGCAGAGTGGTGTCCGATTCTCTCCCCTCAGCTCACGGACAGAACAGAAACGAAGAGCTCGCCGTTACCTTTCCTTCCTCTCGGCTGTAAGTGCAGCTCTCTCTCCTTCCCCCCGGTCGATGATTACAAGGTGGGTAAATGGGGTTGTTGTTTTGGGGAATGATGGTGTCGAGAGTAAATGGAAATGGTGTCCGGTCTTGAGGAGGTTGGAGTCGCGGTTTTCTTCTGAAGAATGGTGAAGTGGAGAATGTTTTTTTTTATTTTATTTTATTTTTTTTCACCTTAATTATTTAACAAAAATAATAGTAAAACTAAATAATAATAACAACAACAATTTTAATTACAAACACATCGAAATAAACAAACTAAAAATAACAAAATTACCATTTTCGATCTTTTCTTTCATTTTTCATCATTTCTCATCATTTTTTTTCTTTTTTTTTTTTCAAAATAAATTAACAAAAATAAACCAAAATGCCAAAAAATTAAATTTGAACGTATTTTTGTGAACAATTTTCCTTTTTTTCTCTTTTTCCATGATTTTTCTACGTTAAAACTTAAAAATTAAAATAGAAACTAGAAACTAAAAAAACTAAAAGCAACTACGACAAATGAGAATAAAAAGTAAAAGAAATTACACCAAAAATTTGGTGTCTACAATTCCTTTGCTATAGGATGGATGCCAGTGGTGACCCGAGTGACCGTCCGGCAGGAGATCGTCCTCGTAGCACGTTGCCGCCGATTAAGTATCAACTTAGGCAGAAGGGGGCCGTGGTCCGTTGGAGCCCGGCTTGCCGCGTTCGACAGTGTGAGTGTCGTAGCAACTTTGCCTACCCAAATACACTAGTTTTGTCGGTGGCAAAGGAACGCGAGGAGTTTGCTAAGGAAAATACTAAGCTTGAAGCTGCGGTTGCTACATTGGAGGCTGAGGTGGCTCAGGCGAAGGCGACCAATGACAAGCAAGCCGCACGTACCATGGAGCTTGAGTATGACGTGAATGAGGCGGAGGACCGAGTTAATGACTTATGTGATCAACTCAGGGATGGTCGCGAGCGTGAGGTCAAGCGAGCTCGCAAAGTGAGGGGTCGTGCTGAGGCGATCCTTAACCTATGCGACGATGGACTCGAGGAGTCTAGCGATGAGGCCTCGTATGCTGGGGCCGAGGCTGGGGAGGAGTCTACCCCATCAGCCAATAATTTTCGTTCCCCTATCCAGATCTCACAATCTTGATACACCAAGTTAGCAATTAGACTTTGATCCCCAGTAGGCGTTTTAACCTCTAAATCATATGGTAACTTAATTGGTTTCAAGTCTATCTCACTCATGAAGTTAGGATTTACAAAAGAATGTGTAGCACCTGGATCAATTAAAACCCTAGCTAAACGGTGAAAGATTGGGATTGTACCTTCTACCACCTCAGTTGTCTCAGGAACTTGTTGATAATCCAGTGTATAAACCCTGGCTGGAACTTTCGGTCGGCTCCCTCCCGCACTGGTTTGCTTAGAGGCTGACTTTTCCGGTCTTTGGGTATCACCTCCCATCTTCATTTTGTTTGGACAGTTTGCGAGCTGATGCTCGGTACTGCCGCAGGCCAAGCACTTCCCAGACTTCCTCCAACAATCATTTTCAGAATGGTTGGGTTTTCCGCAGTACCCACACGTAACTTGAGGGGTCACCGCTGATCCACTGGAAGGCGCTCTCCTAGCCTGTGTCAGTCCACTATGGCCTCCTCTAGATAAAGACCCTCTCGAAGCTCCAGCAGTTCTTGGTCCTCCCGCTCCTCTTCCCATTTTGGAAAGTTGTGCACTTTTACTAGCTTGTCCAGAGGTATGGCTAGAAAAATTTCTTTTTCTATTGTGGAAGTCTCTCACTTGAAATCTTGCACTCTCAACTCTTTGTGCCTTCTCTAAAGCTTCCGTAAATGTAGAGATTTGGGCTGCGACCAAGCCCTCTTGTATCTCCACATTAAGTCCCTGAACAAACCGTCTAATCCTTTTTCGCTCATTGGTCACCAGTTTGGGAGCGTACTTTGAAAGCTTAGTAAATTTTCCTTCATACTCAGCTACACTAAGAGTTCCCTGTTTCAACTTGATAAATTCATCCTCCCTCTTCTTTTGAATTAAAGGCGGAAGAAACTTTTCATTAAATTCCCATGTAAAATTCTTCCAAGTCCAAGGGGTTTGAATTCTCTCCCATTTTCCTTTTATCAGATCCCACCAAGCACGGGCTACTCCCTCAAATTGGAAAGCGGTGAAATTCACTCGCCTATCTTCAGTGTAGTCTAAAGTAGTGAATATGTTGGTCATCCTTTCTAACCAATTCTCCGTTACCTTAGGATCAGGTTCGCCAAGGAACTTAGGAGGGTTAAATTTCAAGAACCTCTCTAAGGTTCTATCCTCTCCTCTTTCTTGACCCCCAGGTTGGTTGAACGATCCAGGGCCTCATCTATCAGCTAAGCGCTCTAGGATATCAGTCATTCTATTAATGGCAGTAGCCACTTCATTACCCTCAATATTTTCTTGACCTTAGGTCGGTCCAATTGCCGATCCCTGGTCATCCCTTTGAGGTTGGGCCTGTCTAGTCCCTCGCCCACGACCTCGACCACTTCTTAGTCCTTCCATAATCTAGGCAGTGCAAGAAATAAATAAATAAATTATGCGGTGCAAAGTAGAGAGCAGGAACCAATCAAGAAAACATCAGAAATAACAATAATTTACATTCATTAGTATATCAAGTTCATACAATTAGCAAGTCATGGGGTAATCACAAAAATATAGCACACAGGTGCCACAAGAGTACTTTTAGTCACAGAAGACTAAAGTAAAAGCGATTGCTTCAAAATAAGCCACACAGTCATGCAAAATACAATAGCCTCAGCACTTAGCGTCACCCCAACTAATACTAGCTATACTCGTCAAAAGAGTCAAAAGAGTGGTCAAACTGCCTAGACTTAGTCCACGGTTGGACTATCAGGGGGAACCTTCTCCTCAGGATCCTCCTCTGGATCCTCCTTCTCAGAATCCTGAGCTACACCCATCACCTCATCCACTAACCTAGTGGCATCAGCTAGGATCCCGGAAGCCCTATCACGAACCTCCTCCCTCAACCTAGTAAGTTGAGCCCTAGTGTTCCGGAGCTCCTCATTAACAACAGCAGATGTAGCTACCTCGCCCTCAATCACCTCCTCGAGCTCGGCGATCCTCTCGCCCTGAGCGCTAACCATCTATCTAAGCTCGTCCACCTCAACCTGTAAGTCCAAGTTGGCATTCACCAATTGACGACGCTCATCGTCCAAGGCCAGTACAACGTGGTTTGGGTGAGCAAAGGTCACCTTACAAGCGCATCGGGGATATCTGTCAGGTGGGGAATAGTGTACTCGAGCTCCTCCAACTAGAGCTCGGTAGTAGATAGGCCTAAGAGGCACTACATGACCATTCGCATGGCCATTCCCGTTAGCTGCCGGAACTCCATTTCTGTTTTTCATCCCTGCAAAATAATAGCACTTTTCGGGTTAGAAATTTAAATCACTATCTAGTTCGGATGTCGTTTATGCATGCCTAACCCAATCACTAGTATGCCCCAAATACCTCTTAAGGTATAACTTAATTATCCGGTCTCAGATCTTAAGGGTAGAGTATCTAATATGTCTCCCATATAGATCTCTAACCTAGCGCTAACCTAGCGCTCTGATACCAACTGTGACGCCCCCACTTCTCCCTAAGGCGAACCAAAGGGTATCCGCGGGACGCCTGCCCAACTCTCGCTAGGACTCAAGCAATTCCATTCAAGCTTATTACCGGTCTACACAACACAATTCAATAACTTAAATACAATAAATGCGGAAGCATTCAAGCTTAATAATAATTATCCATTCTCCAACCCGCACATCGGGTGTTTAAAGTACATCGCGAATCCCAAATATACATCATGCCCCAAAAGTTACATTTCCAAATCCAAAAATACAACCCAAAACCAAGGTATAGCCAAAAATGTAATAGAAACCCTAAACAAAAGCACATCAAGAGGGTTTCTTCAATACATCTCCGAGTTCAATCCTGTTAAGGAAAACAAATCTATAGGGTGAGCAAAACGCTCGTGAGACCAAGAACACACATGCAAGCACGTTGTTCAGGTAACAAGTCCAAATAACAGTTCAAGTGATAAATTACAAGTAATTCATAAAGCCAACGAAATGTAAACAGAAACAATTCAAGGATATGGTAGCTCTCAGGAGCTAAGTTCCACTTGTTTTGCCAGTTCATTCGTATATCTTCCCGCGATGACTCTCCGTCAACCGAGTTGATATTTCCAAACTGTAGATCACCACTTACTTCTCATCCGTCCACCATACACCGCTTCGGGCCCGTACGACATTTATAAGGCGATACTCCACGAGTATGCCAAGCAAGATCTCTCAATAGATTAAGCTTATCATGTGAATCTCATGGCTCACCGAGGTTCCCGACCAATCCCATGCCGGCTCAAATTCCAAGGTCGGCCTATGAGTTTGGGCATTCCCCATGTATCATGTGAGTGTCGAGGAGATTCACTCCAACGACGTATGCAGCCATAGCATACCATGTCATGTATTCAAGCATTTGACAGGTTTAAGCATGTATTTCAGGTCATGTAAACCAGGCAAACCATGTTAAGCATGAGTCATTTGTTTCAAATGAGAACGAGTGCGATAAAGTACACACTCGACTCCATTTTTCAAAACCAAGTAGGCTAAGCATGTAATCAGGCAAGTCAAGCATGAATCAAGTCCATAGAGTTCAAGTAGTCACACACTTGACACTCACTAAGTTATGCGAGCAAGTAGATTCAACCGAGAGTTCAAACTTCCACCGTATGATCCTCTTGAAGGTCCTCGTGCGTGCCTGAACAACGAATAGTAGACCATTACTACAGGTCCCCAAGTGGTGAGAAAGATTGAACACGAGTAGGGTTTGGAAATATTTTAAGGATTTCGTTTGAGTTTGTCTTTGAAGTTGGATTCGCAAAAGGGTACAAGACTCGAGTAAAATCGGATTATTATCCTTAAAATCATTGGATAGAGATGAGTACGTGCGAATAAATCTTGAAACGAATGACCGAAATCGAAAGTGGGATGGCCACGTCACAATCCGGCCGGAATCTGGCCGGGTATCCGGCCGGATTCTTGGCCGGATTGGAGGCAGTAGCCATCCTCAGTTTTTTTCAAATCCCAATAGCAATCCGGCCATCTATCCAACCAGAAACTGGCCGGATTCAAGGCTGGATTCCAGTAAAATGCTTCTCGCGCGGATTTCGTTTCAAATGTTCAAAATTTTGATTTTTGGCACAATCTTTGAAAAATCATAACTTCTTTTCTACTTGTCGAAAATTGATAAACTTGGCACCGTTGGAATCATCTTCCAAAGTACTAAAATTTCCTAGAAAAAACCTTTCCATGAATCTAAGCGGAAGGCACTTAAATTTTGGCTCAAAGTTGGTAACTTGAGTTACCAAGGTAGTTTCAAGTTGGGTTTTGGCCAACTTTGAAAATTCGGCAAAATTCACTCGATTTGAACTAGCCTTTGAAATTTGAAAATCTATTAGAGTTACAATCCAAGAGTATAACAAAATAAGCAGAACGATAAATGGAGTTTTGAGCACCGAGAAATGGTGTCCCAAAGTTACCAAAATTTCCTTGATAAATAAGGGTTTTTCCACTTAAATCATGAACTTTGGAGGTTTAGTTAAACGTCAAGACGGCTTTGGAATAACACCAAATTTGGTATGAACATCCTACCATATAGGGGCTACTCCTCTACCAAATTTTGTAGAAAAATATACACGGGAAGTTGGTGAACTAATTCACCAAAATTTCAAAGTTTCCAAGGCAAATTGCCTTGTGAGCTCCGTTTTGCCGTTTTCAAAATGTTTAACCCAAAGGTTGCCTCAACCATGGTCCATTTACATTGAAAAGGTCTAAGGCATCCCACAACAGCATTTGTGGGTGATTAACACCAAGAAATTAAATTTTCAAGTCTACACCGAGCCTTGCATCAATTCTGTCCAAAAGTGAGGGTTTTCAAGAGCAGGGCAGGTTCCGTATTTTGATCATAAATCACTCAAATTAACTCGAAATTGGGCATGGTTTATGGAATTGGAAAACACATTCATAGAGCTATAATTTCACAGAAGAATTCATTTTGAAATTCGGCACACAACTAGCTCGAATTGGAGCCACAAGTTGCAGCCTCAGCATTTCATTCTAGTAAAACAGAGAAACAGAACAGCCGACTTTAAATGGTTGGTTCGGCTCACATACATGGAACCAGAACGTGCATTTTATACCATCAGAAAGGTGGGAATGTCTAGTTTCAAATTTCACAGACGGTTCTTGATTTTGACATCGGAGTACAGAGTTACTGTCAAAACACGAAAGCTGGTCAGAGCACTACGAGAACAGTTCCAGATTTACTAGCTTTGTGAAATCGATTCATTTGACCAACTAAACCTCAATATTTTTCAATGAAATTTTATACACCATCTATTCAACATATAAACATCATATATAAGTCATTATAACCTCAAAATTCCGCAGAAATAGGTACGTTCAAAGCAGGGGCAAAATCGGAACTTTTCACCCCATGCATTACTTGAAGTTCATAATACTAATACACCATTAATCTACCATTTTGAGCACTAAATCAACATTAAACCCATCATCAATCATCACATCAGCCATCATCCAAGAGTGGGAGTTCATAGAGCCCACATTCAAAATTTTCCAACAATAACAATCACCCATATGAATACAAGA